ATAATTTATGTTTTGTTTTAATCGGCCAATAAAATGTGTCGAGTAGAGGCGTTTTGGCGAGTCGGTCGGTAAATAAGGGGAAACAAGCAATATTTTATCTTAGGCCTGGTAGAGATTTGTCGTGAGTTCTATCTTACTGCAGCCTACACCCTCACGCCCTCACTACTAACCACACATACACGTACGTGCACTGTATATATAGATATATTTACAGAGGTTGCCCCCGCTGGATATATATAGGGATGATATATTATTTTACGGGGGTAGAAATTAACTTTTGAACAAGGGAGTCCAACAACAAGGAACAAACAAGGAAAAGGGGAGAACAAGGGGTGCCCTCAAAAATAGGGAGTTCAAATCTAATCAATAGTTCAAAACTAAAGATATTCACAATAACGCATGTGCTTATTTTGAAGATTCATGCGGTTGCACGTATGCCAAATTTGTTTTGAACATTTGCTGGAAAAATATGGTAATTCCGCGAGGTCGTGCTCTGGAACAAACTAGTTAGTATATAGCAGAATTTTCAGGGAGTCACACGGACTCCTGCATAATGTCAAATCAGGGAGTCCGACAGTAAATCAGGGAGTATTTGACTCCGGACTCGCGTTAATTTCGCACTCTCTTAGGCTCTATATACATAAATATATTGATATATAAACAAAACTAACTACAAGCTACCCTCGTGCATGTACCCCCCCCTCCCTACTGACCGCATAGCATACCCCATACCGCATATCTCATAGCGTCGGGACATCACCTCGGTGAGATAGGATCTTGCACTTTGAGTGTTTAACTATCAAGTCCTAGCTAACCGCACTGCACGCTTCACTGTGCACGCTACAACGCTGCTACACATAAAACGCTTTATACCACATTGCTCCGCGTACATGCCGTCAGCCGTCATGCCCTGTAGCACACACCCTATCCCCCCACCTCTATACACACGCACGCACGCACGTACACACACACGCGCAGGCACGCACGCACGTAGTCACGCTCCTGTACACTCGCTCGCACGCACACGCACACCCACACGTGCGCGCGCACACACACACACATGC